TATACGATGTCACTTTTTGTTTCAAAAATATATAAGATATTGTTACAGAAGTTGTTAAACCATAATGTACAGAAAGTAATTTATACTATGCACATAAACCAATAAATAAATATTCTTAAATGTAACGGAAACTTATTACTATAGGATTGCATCCTGACATTCATAATTGCATAATTTTCCAACCAGTTCCTATTAATTAAACATGGTAAAAATGGTGGAGTTAAGCCTTATATATGTAATCAATACAGTAGTTCCTGATTCAGATTCCTTCAGATGCAGTAGTTTATTATGCCACTGGTGTATGCAATAAAAGTGAACAAGTTTCATTTACTTTCTACACGAAAGCAGTAAGGTTTCAATAACTCATTCACTGAAGTTTATAACGTTTGTGTCAAGACACACAATGCATGTTAACAAATCTTTTAATTCATATCCACAAATTCTGCCACTTACTTGATTTCCATAATGCGTTATCATGACTGGAATTATACTATACCAAATGTTCTGGGATTACAAATGTAAAGTGAGGAACACATGGTATGTATTTTCTTTAAGAAAATGTCACAATAATTTGGCAAATCTTAAAGTACAAATTGTAACAAAACATTTTGTTAGAATTCAGAATTAAATTCCATCTAATCATTGGAATTCTTTACTGAATTTAACAATCTAAGAAATTTCCAGCCATCAATAATTCTAATGCGATCTCAGGTGCAATGGGAAATTCTGGTATTTCTGTGCTACTATTTGTATATCGTACTTTGTACGCAAAATACATACAGACTTTTTGTAATACATGAGAGCTGCAAGTAAAATATATTAATCATTTAATGTATTCTCATTTGATTAATTGAAACATTCTTCAAAATATATGCAGAACTTACGGAATTTCACGGAAGTTCACTTCATTGGCTTCATTTTCAGCAAACTGACCAGGACCACTTAACATGGCTTTTATAGTTCCACTAATCGAAGCATGTTCACGCTTTATAATAAATTCATGTCCATCACTACTGATTAGTTTGACATACATTCCATTTGGCCCTTCACAACCACCATAAACAGATCCTCTTTCTTGCTAAAATTTTAACCCCTTATTTACTTTCTATTATCTTGAATATACACTTAAACGTTACATTGTTAATACCAACTACTGTACAACAGAATCTATCGTTAATAACAGAAGACAGGGTAAATGATCGAAGAAAAAACAAAAAGATTAAGCAGCAAAACTTTAATTTGCAGAAATAGGTACCGCATGCAGGTCAATAGTTGAACTGACTTCTTCTTCTTCTGCACGATTGACAGTTTCTTCCTCATTGGGCTTGATCCAAAGAAAAATTAACATTAATCAATGAACTCTTTACCATGACTTTCCTGCTTTCCAATAGAGAAATCAATGAAATAGCAGCCCGATTGTAACAGCGTGTACATTTCTTTTCAAATACATTTGAACATACCCCAATAGTCATGCAAGAGTTAGACATGCGAAATATTTTAAGGGAAATACATACCCTTTCAGCTTGCATGTTCATATCATTTGGCATGTTTGTATCGTTTGACATGTTTTATCAGAAGTGTGGTATCTGCACAAGGAAAATTAACGATTATTTGCAAATACGTATTCCACTGACTTGTATAATGTATATTATATACATACTTTAAAATATATGTTAATGTATATGAAAGTTCAAAGTATGACAATTCATATGTGCCAACCTAATTTATTATCATTGGACTATTTTAAAAAAAAAATATAATATCTTTGTTTAAGACTGAACCGTTTTAATACCATTGAGTTCTATCCGCATACATATCCTTGTTCGTAATGAAAGGTCAGTTTTTCACTCCATCGTTTCGTGTCGATGAAAAGGTTACTCTGAACGTTAAGAGACAACGCGTCATAATGGATTTAATATTAACACACAGATATTATGAATTAATATTAACATATACACTAGTGATCAAAAGTATTACGAAGGATATTGGCAGAAAAACAGATACGAGAAAGAATACATGCATGAACAGAAAAATAAATGGACATTGTTGCATCTAGTTTAAACATTGTTTTTGGAGTTGCAAATTATTCATATAAAAAAAGGACTTTAACACTGAGTTATTTAACGCATACGATTTACGAATGACAACTGGTACATACCTCGTTCAAATGAAAATTCGTATAAAATTCAGACTTTTCGGTGCACAGTAAATTTTCCTAACAAGTGCAATAGCAATTAATATGGCTACTACCAATGTCGGACGGATTTCGATAAGTCGAATCATGCTACTCCATCTTTAGCAGCGCTATTCAGTGGGCTAAAAAGTGGCGCGTAAAAGTTAGTTGTTTTGTGTACAAGTTGTAACATACATTTATTTAATATAGTTTTCTGACTGTTGATACTTCATTTATATAATAATTGGATTTTAATTTAATCTGAGTACATCGGTTAATTTTTTAGTAAATAAGATTTTTTTTAATCCGTTCAAATAACAGTGGAAGTTCGACAGGATGGTAACTATAAATTCTGGGTAAATATTTGTTAGAATACGAGTTATTTAATACTAAATTTTATAAACTAATTATACACTTATCTTCAAAGATATGAAAGAACCATGGACGAGATACGCGAAACTTTACGCTTGGCTATTATTAAAGAGCCAGAGCTGCAAAATGTAACACAAATTGTATATTCTGTGGCAGACAATAACATAGAGCAATGTACAAAGTTATTAGAACTTGACGAAGATTTGCTAGAAACCATCAAGGCAGGAGACAGGTATACACCTATTTATATTTTTATAACTTGTTGCTATCTGCTATATTTTAGTTTAACTTTCCAGGGGAATAAGAAAGACTCTGTGGTATTGTGTACAAAAAATAAAACATATGATATTAAAGAAGCAGAAACATCCAACTCCTGTTTGGTGGTACCAAACTTAAATTTATTTGAGCAGACTAATATAGATACAAATGAACGAATAATGAAGAACTATAATATCTCAGGAGTTTTTCATAGATATTATGAGGTATAAGAATGATAAGTTAGCAAACTATTTGGAACTATTAACTTGTATACTTTAAAAATAATTTAGGTGAGGGAAGGTAAACCTAAGCTAGATAGATTAATTAGTACACTTGAGCCTACTTCTTTCAAAGGAATAGAATATGAATCCACAATATCCAAAGAACATCTATATGATTGGGATAAATTAAGAAGTGAAATACAGGCCAGTGAAGATGAATTAAATAAAGCATTAAATGATTATTTGATAACTAATATTGATGGTATTAAATTTGTCTTGATATTCTACCACTGTAACTATAATTATGTCTATATTCCATTTATCTGTATCCAAAGGTTATTTTCGTATAATATCATTTGAGTTTGAGATACGAAGTTTAACTTTAATGTTAGATCTATTTGAGGAAAATAGTTGGGAAATAGATGAAGTGGATAAAGAAATCACATATGAATCCATAAAGGAATTACTTCCTGAATGTGTGTTTGATATTATATTTGCAAAGTATACAGAAGTGAGTGATAAATTAAAACCAGATGGAACACCTCTGTATAGGTATCTACTTTATTGTTAGAGTAGCAATGTACTTTATGTATTTGTACAATAAAGTATGATATTATAGGTATAAGGAAGGAAAATGCTGCAAAAGTTTAGCAAAGGTTCTTCTGTCCGCTTCACCAGTAACAGAACATAAGCAATTTATGGAATCATGGTCTATTGGTACTCCCGAAAGTAAGCCAAGATCTGCTAGATAAAAAATTGTAAACATGGTATAAATTTACATAGTATTTTGTACTTATCTAGAAATGAAACCAAAAGAAGAATATTTGAGTGGTATAGCTCTGATTACATGGAATAGTTCAACACTGAAGAAAGAAGTAGTATCGTTTCTGGAAACAGATTTGTCAAGGAATATCTATGATAGGTTCAATGAACTTTTCAAAGCAAAAGATAAATGGACAGTCGAAGAAATAACACCATATGTATTGTAAGTGAAAGAACGTCTAAATGTCACAGAACATATATTTCTTTTTTGTTTGTCGTACAAAGTTTTCTTGTGTTGCCTTTCAGAAACTTGACCACGAATCAAATGAATGTTAATGCTCTGCTGACTAAATACGCTAGATGTTCAACGGTAAATGGCGTTAAATATTATAGCTCGAAGCACGGTAAATAGTCGATTGAAAATGGTTCATGATACTGAAATCATTCACGTTGTTTATTTCGCTCGTGATCATGATACATAGTTACATTTACACAATTTTATAAATATCTTTGAAATATTATTACGCACTGTGCTCACTTTTATCATTCTTCGTCTGGTTGATAACAGTAACACGATCGATCATCGTAGACTGCCGTCGCTTCAATACTTGTTCCTTCTCAAAGGACTGCATTTGTAGTTCGGAGAACAACTACCTGTACTAACAATGACAAATGGCTTGTATCTTTATCTTTTCGTCGTCGATTACAAAATTTATATCATGTAACATGATTGCGGAACAACTTTAGCTGCAAAGCTAAAATAAAAGGAAAACAAAGCATTCGATAGTGTTCAATTCACGGAAACTTGAATGAATGACTCGATAATAGAGCGATTAATTAAATTTATCTCGAAGATATACGGATCTCCTAAATTTTTATAGCTGCGGATCGCGCGTATAGTGAATTTTGTTCTTCGTCTTAATTTACATCATCACATATTATGATACTCGACACGACACAGTTGCGGTAATTACACGTAACATAAAAAGAAGAACGCGATGGAAATTATACTTTACAGAATAAAGATTATAATATTGCAGAGAATGTAAACATCATAGTACATAATACAATTGAAAACAAAAACCTACTTGAAC